ATTTAAAATATATTTTCAATCACAATATTTATTTGCTCAGGCAGAAACTTTGGTGCCCTAACATGTATGCCTTGTAAAGCATTTTTTCGACGCAATGCTTATAATAATCAGGTTAATAAATAATAATTAATGAACTTGCTATAGTAAATTTAATAATTAATCTATTCTGCACATCAGTACGAGTGTCAATACAGCAACAAATGCACAATCAATGTATCAAGGCGCAAGTTTTGCCAAAAATGTCGCCTGGATAAATGTTTTGCTGTGGGCATGAAAAAAGTATTTTTAATTTCTTATATATATTTTAGTTTTTTAAAAATTGCTTCAAAAATATGACAAAACTCTGTATAACTCTCGAGGAATGGATACTCAGCGACGAAGAGAAACAAATACTCCGTAAGAAAGTGGAGGAAAATCGCAAGAATCGTCTCATGGCTACCAAAGGGGTTGACACTACAGGCCACACATCCCTGAACGCTAAAAGTCACACCATTTGCCACAATATCTTAGCCGACATAACAGATGGCAACGTATCGGGCGATTACAGCGATGAGTCTAATCCGTTATCACTCGATATTGACACTGAAGACCACGTATTGTCACTAGATTTCGATGCCTTAACTGATAGTGACTTCACGCTCAGCGACACCATTACAGACAACATGGAGACCAAGGAATTGCTAGACATTGATAACAATATAGTGATCACCGAAAAGACTCAGACAGAGGTTGATGGCAATCATGAGCCCAATTATACTCAGACTATAGTTCCTATTCAGAGGCCAATCACCGATTATAATAACAATTTCAACGAGACTGAGGGTAACTGTTTGGCGGAACTCCTATCAGCGATGGCTATCGTGGAGGAGCCCGTGTGTACTGATGGCACAGATGTGACCACATTTCAGGACATGCGTCGAGTGATGACCAAGAAGTTTGATATAGGGATCCGGAGTGTCATACAGATGTCGAAGCGATTGCCATCGTTTCGGAGTATCAGTGAAAACGATAAATACATTCTCGTGAAGAATAGTTGTGTCGAAATACTTCATCTCAGGTCTGCCCTCATCTTCGACTACGAGAACGGACTCTGGAATATATTTATTGTATGTATGACCCTGATTATTGACCACTTAAAAGTGCATGTGTTTCCAGAATTGCACTGTACGTAAAAATGAAACCTTATTTTAGTGCAGACTATGATAACACCATGCTAAGATATTTTGTTTACTACGACGAAAAGTGATAGCTTGCATTTTATTGTATCTAAATGTGACCTTGCTATGCAATTAATCTGCAATTAGTTCTACTAGTCTAACAGTACAGTTATCTGTGTACTACCGGTAATATAATTTAATAATTAATGTTTTAATTGTAATTTGCTTAGAAAAATGGTGAGACATTTCGCGTGAAATTTGAATCGATGAAAGAAAATCCATTTGAGTTTTACGACTCACTCAAGAAGTTTTTGCTTAAAGTCAAACTGGAGTGCGGTTTCGATTCACTTATCTTTGATTTGGTATGAAATTCAATACCTATTATCTAATACTGTTTTTAGAAAATCCATTTGAGTTTTACGACTCACTCAAGAAGTTTTTGCTTAAAGTCAAACTGGAGTGCGGTTTCGATTCACTTATCTTTGATTTGGTATGAAATTCAATACCTATTATCTAATACTGTTTTATGCGATAAACACTATATTAATCGTAAGTATTTGACAAACATTGCAGTTAACAGCGATACTACTGTTTAACCCCAGCCTACCTGACTTAACGCACAGGGATGTTATCAAGTATGACATCGGCTAACAAATCGCAAATACTGTACTAAAATATTTTCGTATAATTAGGTTCCAGCAGAAATTGTACTTATATTTACTGAAACGCTATCTAATGATAAAGTATCAGCCGGACAGCGATGTGAAATGTGCCAAAATATTGAGTATAATCACTGATTTGCATGTATTGGCACATTTGCACCGACAGATCACCGCACAGAGAGATCCCAAACAAATAGGACCTCTACTACAAGAAGTCTATTCAATGAAATGATTTTGATAACCAAATTATTTTTGAATAATTAATCAGTTAAATACCGGTATAACATAATTACTACAGTGTAATATTTTAATTATTACTTTTTATTTAGAAATATTTATTTTCAAATAAATCTCATAATGAAATTGATACGATTTTTATTAAGTTTATTTCTATTTTTCTATTATTTTATTATTGAATAAACTGTATATATTTATTATTAAATAAATAATTAACATTCATTATTAAATACTTTTTAAAATTAGCCTATTTTAAGAATTAACCGCATATAAAAGTATATATACAAAAATAGTGTAGGTAATCATTAATAATTGATTTTACTAACAATTCATGAAAATGCATGTAAAAGAAATATATTCAGTAATGAATATGTTTTCGTATAAAAATATTCTGTTATAAAACATGTTGGGAACGCAAGCCTTGATAACCTAATGATAAGGTACTGTCGCCACAAGTTTTGTACAAACATTTGGTGAATAGTACTAATTATTATATAACCAGTAATCTACCTTTTTCTAATCAATATGTCTTACTCCATTTTTTTATTTAGCAACTTACAATTAGCTAAATTTATTTCAAAACATTTGATCAATTCGTGGAAAATATTGGTCTGAATTTTATAGTCACTTGTACTTAATGTGATATACTGTACAACCCTATTGATTTGCTATTTAATGATTTAATGTGAGAAGTATATAAAGTATTATTTACATTAATAGTGGCATTTTACATAAATAATAACTTCATAATTAAACGACAAAATTTCTAAAAATATGAACACATATATTTGTAGTGTTTGTGGGGACCGAGCCCAAAGTATGACTTATATTAATTTTATATTAAAAATTTATAATTTAATAATGTAATTAAATGATCATACACTCAGCTATAGTATTTAGTGTATCAAGATCGAATTATTTATTTAATTGTATGACTAGGTAAAAACTTTGGCGTTGTTACCTGTGGTTCATGTAGAGCGTTCTTTAGGAGGAATGCCATTAAAAATGAGGTCTAATACTGAGAATTTTATACAAATTTAATTTATTTACAACATTTTATTTCATAGCCAGCAAAATGTCATTTTGGGGGCAATTGTACTGTAAATCAAATAACACGAAAATTTTGCCAAACCTGTCGACTCCATAAATGTTTTATTATTGGAATGAGAAAGGTTAACATTATATTGAATATATTATTCATTGTTTTATTCATTAATTTATAAATGTTTTAAGGATTTGATTCTCACAGAAAGTGAAAAACTAATAAAATGTAAGAAAGTGGAAGAGAATCGACAAAAACGACTAAAGAAACGACAATTGATTAGCAATTCATACAAATCTGACACAAACTTCAAGTCAAATAATTCACATCAAGTCAACACTATTTGCCATACAAATGCTCGTAAGTTAGATCATTTTGAACGTGATACTCAATATAATATTGTGTCCACTTATAAACATAATATGGATCCGGATAACCAAATAATATTTGACACAATAAATCCAAAAATTAGAAAACATTTACTAAACAATGAATGTTTACATAAAAATCATCTCTCATTTAAATTGACATCTCTTTCCATAGCCCGACATATCAGTGATTATAACAAAACTTTCAATGACTTTGAATTCAACAAAATGAATGAATTATTAATAACAATGAATTATATTCGAGAGCCCATGGGGTGCACCGTTACCTGGGAGTTGTCAGATGTGACCCAGTACAAGTCTGTCATGGTCATGAGATTCGCTCAGTCTATACAAGACTTTATAAAAATGGTCAAAAAACTGGACTCATTTAAGACCCTTTGCGGTGACGACCGGTTATCCCTTATAAAGTACGGGTGCGTTGAGAACCTATGTATGCGTTCACTTCAATACTATGATCTGACGCATGAATATTGGACTCTATACGCGGTCAGTTTGCAAAATAAAATATTATTTAAGCTTGTTTAGTTTTTATGATTTTAAATAAATATCATGTACTTATTCCTCAGGGGAACGACAGCTCTATTCTACTAAAAACGGAGTTCTTTGCCACTTGTGAGCCATCCTTATTGAATCCCTACAAGAATTATTTTAGTAAAATTGGTCCCGAATGGGATTCAGACCATAACATAATTGATCTGGTTAGTGATTTATTTTTACTATTTAGATATTTATATTAAATTATGCCCCAAAAAATATCTACCGTTATATTTAGTTGACAGCTATCATACTGTTTGATCCAAATCGGCCGGCCCTTATCCATAGGGATGTCGTTAAGTAAGTTAAGTATTATTACAGAAAATTAACTATTAATTAATTAGTCTTTAGTTAATTAATATTTCATTTATTTCTAGACTGGAGCAGCGATTTTACATGTACTTACTTCACCGATACCTACACCTAAAATATCACTCCAATAGTAATGAAGCAAAATATAAATTTCTTAAAATCATGAGTTGTGTCAATGATATTAATATAATAGGAGAGTTGATTAAAAACAATTGGTCTGAAAAGGACCCTCAAAAAGTCGGTCCTATTATTTCGGATTTGTTTGATTTAAATGAACAAATCAATTAATACATTACTTATTTATTTGTATATACGCCTATTATTATTTTGTATTTTTAAGATATACATTTTTATTATGTATAAGTTCAGTATTATAATAAGCCACAAGTATTATTATTATTTAGAATATACCTACACTGTATAGTTGTTAAATTATTTATGCGTTCAAAATATTTCATTTATTATATTGCTTGCTTAATCATTAAATAATATTTTTGTTTACAAACTTTATGACCATAAATAAATATGTTTGAACAAATTATATCTAAAAATAATACATAGTACACTTTAAATCAATTGAATATTTTATAGCACTAAATTATTTAATATAATAATTACTGTTATTCGGTGCATTATTGATGCAAGGTATATTAGAAGTAAATAAAGTAAATATAGTACAGAATAGATAATATAAAAATAAACTTACATAATATAAAAATATAAAATTTATATACTGGTACTATAGATTCTCAATATTTAATGGATATAAACTTAATTCTAGTTATTTTATAGTAAACCTATCAAATTTTTTCTATCATTTATCTAAATAATTAATATTCAGTCTCAACGTCTTATATTATCAAGCTTATCAAATTAAACTATTGGTATAATGGAAAATTGATGTCATAAAAAGATATTTATGTGCCAAGTTTATATTTAGATGTCTTTTGTGTGTAATCATTAAATGGGATTAAATT